TCCCTATCTTTCTGAAAAACCAGCCTAAGACCTAAACTGTTCTGAGCTCTGCTCCAAAGGACATTGATGTATTTTTCTCTTAGCAACCAGACATAAGATACAGTATTATACCTTCTTTTGCAAGCTGTAGCAAATAGTTTCCCAGGTCGTTAGCACTGTTGCTGGTAAAATAATGGTAATACTGAAAGACGGTTATAATTTCTGACTGCAGGCTGGAGGGGAGGATCGGTTCTGTTCGGTCCAGGATCTGAGACACCAGGGTTCTAAATACTATGTTCAGCAGAAAAGACAAAACAGCATTATTAAAGATGTGCTAACAAGAACAAAACTGCAAGCAGGCAGAGCACTGTGGTTAACTTCAATGCACCAAAGGAAGGTAGAACTTGCTTTTTTCGCCCCCAAAACCAGACACCTTCCAGGATTTCTAATATCCTCTAAGAGCAAAACTTCCTCCTCCTGTCTGGGCCTGACCACTATATTTGAGCTGCTTATAATCATTGATTCATTCCTCACCAATCATATAAGGTAGGAAAGACCTGCAGCCAGGTGACAAACATCAGGTAGAGTCTATGGCTTGTTCCAGAGCAGCGGTTCTCAACCTTTTTTTGTACCAGGACCCATTTGTAAACATTGATGGCCAGTCCTGACCCAGTTCCCCTCACCCCTGATGTTCTGCTCCCCACCCTCCAGGCCCCAACCCCCGCCCCGTTTTCGGGCAGGTGTGTGTGTGGGGTGGGGTATGAGGGGCCCCCAGCAGCCCCTTGCAGGCTGGAACTCTGCCAGCCTGCAAGGGGAAAGCCACAGTTTCCTCCTTTAAAGGAGAATCCCTTTTTAAAGTTTGTTCATAACTCTTTCATATATTCTTGCGAGCCATGGGTTGAGAAACACTGTTCTAGGGCACAGTTGTGTCTGTGGCAAAGCTGGGAATTGAACCCAGATCTCTCGAGTCCAGTGCAGTGCCTTTCTCTCTTCTCCAGCTGACATATAGCCTCAGTGGTCAAAGAACCAAATGCTGTGTCCTGCTTATACTTCTGTAGTATAGCAATAGTCACTGAGGTCACCCAGGGGCAGGATTTGGCTTTGTCTATTTGATGTTCATGTGCAGAGCTTCTGCTGACCTCAATGAACAGCTCAACGGCAGGACAGGCAACAGAAAGAGCCATGCTACTCGGGAGATTTGCAGTGCTGATTAGAGAGAGAAATTTTGGGCAGAGGTTGGTCTAATGTGTTCTAGACTCCAAAATAAGTCATTGGGGTTCTGCACAGAGGCTGGGGGTAATGGTAGAGCAGGTTGAAGGTAGTGCAGCTCCATTGTGGGGCCAGGTTGCCTGGCTTTTCATCAGTCTTTAAGGTAGGGGTAGGGGTCCTCAGCAGCAGAAGTGATTATGAAAGGATTCTGTGACTTAGGAAGTTTGAAAACCATGGCTCTAAACCTATTAATTTTTTAGATTCAATATTTTGAACCTTTTTTTTTTCAAATTTCATATTTAAGGCATTCACTGAGATAAGATGTTTGTACTACAGCCCAGCCAACTTCCTGGGGCCTGAAGTGTAACAGAGGGAGAGCAAAACACAGCTCCAGAGGATGGACATTTACAAATGCCGATTGCAAAAAGGGATTCTACAGGATTGAACTTGAGTTGCTCAGAGATTTATTTTTGGCAGACTATACCTGTTTCTGCAAGTCCTGGGCATTCTTCATTCACAGCAGCAGCAAAATTGATATCCAGCTGTTTTATCATCTTATCAGCAGAGGTATGATACAACCCTATGGGACCAGTGCATTTAGTCCAGAAGGACAGCAAGGATAGCTTGCTATGAAATTCTGGAATTGCTAGAGAGAAAAAGCAAAACAGATAAATAAAAGCACAGAATGATATTGTAGTGCTGCTGTGGAAAAAAGAGAAAGGTAGAGGAATATTTAAAACATCCCATCTCACTGGTAGCCATGATGACTAAGTAAGTTCCCCCTCAAACAGCATCTGCTGAACTAAGTTCACTGCTTATAAAAACTTCTGCTATACATCTCAAATGTAGTTAGTCTATGATGCAAACCTACCTTGCATTCTGCATGACTTCAGACTAACATGGCTCACTATCTCTCCCTAGGTTTCCCCATACCATCAACCTCACAGTGGGTGCATCTACATGTACTGATTTAATGTGCATTAACCTAAGTTAATGCACATTAAGGATGCATGTCTACACATGCATACCTTTAATGCGCATACAAATGTCAAATTTAGGCTTGAATAGTTGAAGTGCATTAGCAAACGTGTAGATGCTTTAAAGCGCATTAATGCTGTGTGTGTCGACTGACTCGGGACTAACTTTAGTCCCACATCAGTCCACACACAGCATTAATGTGCTTTAACACCTGCAGTATAGACATGTGCCTAAACCTGCTTAATGCGTGTTAAGCTAATGCACATTAAATTTAGCTGTGCTTAAATGCACGTGTAAATGTGCCCAGTATGCAGGAGTTGCCAACTTCTTGAGATCATAATGTGTTGCTCTTATTTCTCAGAGCAAAAATCCAAATGATGTCAAAAGCAAACTCACTAATTTGGTACTTGAAACTGGATAATAGTTATTTAATTGCCATTAAGTCCCAGAGGAAAGCAAAGTTCCAGTCGTAACACAGGACTTGGGTGTTAGGTACTCCTGAATTTGAACCCTTGATCTGGCATAGCCTTTGGCTGTGGGCAAGTCACTTGATTGCTGGCCTGATTTTTCCTGATCCATAAAATCATACTCAAATCACCTGTAGTACGAGGGTCTTGTGAAATGAATAACTGGCTGTAAAATATGTTGAAGATGCTATAAATCTGCTGTTATTCCATAATAATTGAGGGTAAACTTCAAGCAAATGTTTCAGAGCTTGTGTCATGCCTCTGATACTGTAACCCAGAGATTTGCTAAAGAGTTTGACCCTCTCAAGATACAGGTGGGGAAACGATGACATACTTTGCTGCTTTGACTGTGTTCTTGATCACTGCAGCCGTTTGCTTCTGTGTGTTGGTGTGGGGGGAGAAAGGAAAAGAAATGCATATTCCTCAGTATCGTACCCCAGTTTATGGTAAGCTCTCTGGACATCTTGATTGATATTATCTATAGATAGATGGATAGCTATTCATAAGCATGTAGTTCCTTGTGGTTGCAGTGTTTCTTAACAAGTTTGTCAGTCTACACTGGAATTTACTGTACTGCCAAATGACTCTTTAGGATGATTTCCTTGCACATATGTATATACCTACATGCAAAGCTCCAATCTCAAACCACAAACCTCTGTATTGCTTCTTACCTTCAGTGATGGAGTTGATGTTTCCCAGATTTTCGCTACTGATCTCTGCTATGTTCTCCATCACAAGGATCTGCCTGGACAGCTTGTCCAGGAGGCTTCTTGCTACGAATGGAGCTTTACTGGAGAACACAATTTGCTACAAGCAGTAAAAAAAAAAAAAAAATGCATGGGATGGTGTTACTGAACTATAACACTCTGAAGAATTTTCATCTTGCCAAAATCCTCTGATTTGAATCCATCTAGTTGAGCAAATGTACTGATAAATTCATTGAACAGTGCCTCCTTAATACTGGATGCTCTTTTGTTTCTTATCTATGACGTGGCCTATCAACTATGGGCCACAGTTTTGTGCCTGATGCCTACATTAAATGCCTAAATCTGAAACTAGGGACCAGAGTAATCATTTAAATAAAGAAGTGCTAATTTAGGCACCTTGCTTTTCATAAAGGCCTTATCTACAGGGTCAGCTTCCTATGCCAGACAGCTGTGCCCTCAAGTGCAACAACCTACCAAACTCGAAGCAGTAGAGATAAACCTGCACAGTAGGCAAGCTAACTAGCACTGCTGAGTCACACGGCCACTTAGCCTGTTTCCACGCTTGCCTGCCTGCAGTGCTTCATAGTGTTGTTTCCAGCTCAGGGGGCAAGCTGCAGGAAGCAATGCAGTGTGCCTGAGGGCACTGCTGCCTGGTACGGTGAGTTTGCCATATATGCATGGCTATAGATGATTAAAATCTATGGACCTGAAGGCCAAAAAGGAAGAGTAATCTGATCTCCATTACACAGGCCACAACGTTAATACAATCACTCCTGTACTGAGCCCTAAATACCTTCCTTACTCTACCTCTACTTGGTAGGGATTTGAGCATCATCACTCAAGATGCTGGAATCAGCACTTGCTTTCCATTGTTTCTGTGGGCTCTTGGAAACGTATGTTAATGGTATGAGACCAAAGAGCAAAATGCAGGAAAGAGGCTCTAAAATGTTTTGAAATGACAGGAAAGCACTGCTCTGTAAATGAGTTATGGATCCTGTGAGAAACAAAATCCTGTGATACATTACTGTGACTGGGACTCAGTGACTGAACGTGTCACTGAGGGTGTGTCACAGAAGTTGCTTTTTTCAGTATTTAAAGCACTTTATTGCTGTGACTTAGCAGGGTTTTACAGCATTTAAAAATGGGTACAGTGCTTTAAATTTAACAATTTAAACCCTTGTTGAATGAAGTATTAAATTGGAAGCACGGTACAGGCAGTCCTCGGATTTACGACACAATTGGTTCCTAAAAACCGCATCTTAAGTCGAAACGTTGTAACTCGGAACCAGTTTTCTCATAAGAAACTATGTTATAAATGGGGGATTGGTTCCTGAACCAAGGCCCGATAGCCTATTTTCACCTAAAATACCCCAGAATTTTGTATTTGATCAATTATACATGAGTAATATAGCTACATGAATGTATTTATATTGTAAATAGCAATCATATTGATTTGGAAGGACTTTGAGGTGACTTTGCTGGACTTTTTGAAAGGCTCTTGGTTGGACTTTTTGAAGGGTTCTTGGCTGGAGTCGTTTCAGGAGTCTTGGCTGCAGGTTTTTCTGGAGTCTTGTCTGCTTTATTAAAGAAAGTATCCAAGGAAGTTTGGACAGATGTTCTCCAGGGAGATGAGCCACACAGTGAACTTGTTCACTGCCATGGCATTGCATCGGATCAAGTGTTGTAAGCTGAAACTGACATCATAAAGTTGAAACAGGGTGTCAATTTCTAAACATTGTAACTCGAAACGTTGTAAGTCGAGGACTGCCTGTATTTTACAGCACTTTAGCAACCTGCAGTGCTTTAAATAACTTCTGTATACTGGTAAAATTCCTGACTAGTGAAAAAGCCCTAGGAGGCTGCAGAGCACCTTCTGCCTCCTAGCCTGGAAAGTGCAGGGGGCTGAGAGCCCTCCCCCCCACCAACACTGCACTTCTGTCATGTTTAAGAGCGCTGTAACTTTATAGTGCTATAAAAATGCTCTAAATTTCAGTGCTGTAAAACGTGCACGGAGCACTTGTATACATACCCTGAAGGCATATGAGTCAGTGCTGACAGATGCTGCCTATTTGATTTCTCGGACTGATTCATTGACTGACTCCGGTGCAATGCAGTATGTTCCGTGGTACTGGTGCCCAGAGCATAAAGCAAATGTAACATTTCACATGGCATCCCTACTTATCACGTAAAATCTGAATTATTTCACACACACAACACCTCTGGGCTTTTCAGCATCACAGATACTTGGTTGTCAGTGATTTTCTTGGCTGGCAGTGGTCTGGGATTTAGCTAGTATGAATGGTAGGTCAGTGGGCTTTTCATTTTACCACAAAAAATCTGAGTTCACATAATGACCTGGGTATTGTGTATGCCTTGTGTGTGGAGTTCCAGCTGAGGTCAGTGGGGCTTCAAACATGGAGCACTGTTAGGTTTTGGGTCTCAGCGAAGGTGTGCTGGATAGGTTCAATCTTTGTCCTTAGTGGCTGCTAGTAGCTGACTGCCTTACTTCGGTTTGCCTGGCATTCTGCTGGCAAAAGGGCTAGGAGTGGAATAAGTGTTTTGCAGGCTTGGCATGATTGGAATTGCATTTAGAGGGGCTTTCCTGGTTCCTGACAGGCTTGACTCAGTTCATTGCTACCACACCCTCATTTCATGAGTGCTTAATTTGCAAGCGAGTTCAAAATGTTCTGTAAGTGACAGACACACATGCTTCTAGGAATAGTTTAAAGAAAAATAAAACCCAAAGAGCAGTTGTACCTGAACAAGCTGTGTGCAATATTGCAAATGCTTAACTACGGTTACATCAAGACTCTCATTCCCTGTGGTCAATGGAAGAGGGCTTCCAGCTACACTGGTACCAACTCCCGTGTCTTCTGTCAAAGCTTCGCTAAGATGCCCTCTGGCTTCTGGGTGTTCTGTCCTGTAACTGTTAATGCAGGAAGGTGAGTGAGGAGTTGTTGGGTTTTTATCCTCCTTATGCAGACAAAGCACATGGTTAGCTCAACATGACTAACATCAAGCACAAAAATTGCTGAAAGCAGTGATCTGTAACAAGCAGCTATTGATAAGCCAGAAACCTTTTAATGAATACATCATATCTCAAATTGGTAGTAACATTGTGTAGAAAATGCGGAATGATTGAATGATTGTACACATTTAAAAGACAAATTGCTTCCACAGTGGTCCACTTCTTTCTCCAGAACAATACATCTTTTGTGGCGAACTCACCATGAAGTCTCTGAAATCTGCCCTCATTAGCACTTGTTATTTTTTTCCATCTGTTGGCAGCATTGTTACTAAACTGTTCTGGATTAAACTGCTTTCAAATTTTGTGAGCTCTCAAAAGTTAAGCCATTAAGAACTAATCTGTCAATGTGTTTCTGGCACCAGATTTAATTGTCAGCCAAAGAGCAAACTAGAACTGGTGCTGGAGTAAGAGACATGATGTTTCCATATGCTGTTTTAGGCATGGTGTATATAACTCAAAACAGTTCATCACATCTTTTATGACAGCATAAAACTATTATCACTGTGTTTAAATCATTATGTTCAGTTTCTTGTGCCTTCAACCATATTCTCTCTCAGTTTTGAAGGCTGAGCCCAGTTCTGATCTCAAATATGCAGGCAGCTATTGCAATGTGTACTCAAATTACAGCACCTGCTGGCTTCTAGTTGAATGCTACAGAATACACACTGATGTGCACACTTGCGTATCTAAAATCAGAAACTGGCATTTAGGCTGAATTTCATAGTCCTCATCAAGGGAAAAATGAAACCTTTGTTTAAATTAACCTTTGTTTAACTTAAATATTTGCTTTTATGCAGGGCCTAATCATGTTGACTGAGAGAAGTCATTATAGTTACATCATTTACCTCAAAAGAAGCAGGATAGAGTCAATAATACCTAATTTAGCAAGCAACATAATTCTAGGATTCCCCTTCCTACCTTCCCTCCCAACAAGTTATATGTTTTTGGAGGGAACGTGCAGTTAGGTGGTAGTTTTATTGCTAGAACAATTAGTTTCTTGTACTTGAAATTCTTTTAGGTGACCCATGAGATGCTGAGGGCAATAGACTCCCTCCTTAGGAGATTCTGCCTGTACTGATTGCTTCTTTTCAGCCATATTATTTGTGTATATGGTTTATTTGGCCTCGTTTTGCCTCTCCCGGATGTACACACAAGGATTGAATGATAAAACACAGTCAGCTGCCACAGGTGATGTGAAAACAACAGGCTACAACACAAACATGATGAATTGCTTTCTCACATACACAGAAGTGATGAAAGAAGGGCACACCACACACAGGGCCATGGACAAAGTACCAGCCATCACTCTTACATTCCAAAGGAAACCTACACCATGCTGCTTAAATCTGGCCCTGTGTTACTGTTACTGACAAGTTTAATCCACTGCAAAGACTCACTGGGCTAGAGAGAAGAGACAGGGGGAGAAGAAAACCACAAAGGAATTAGTTATTACATCTGAATCGAAGAAAACCAGGTCCAAACCTATGTCAAGGAAGAGGCTCTGTAGGCACTGATATCCAGTTAATCAATTTAGCCTTCTCTTTTTTCGGTCGGGGAGAGAGAGACTGTAGATATTTGAACAAGAAAAAATGATCTGGGAATTTGAGAATTTGGCGTGTAGTAACCATGGTCAGAACTGCTAATCTGTAGTCTCCTCAAAGGTTTAGCTTCATCTTCCTTGAGTAATGAGTGCACCAGGATCCAATGTTAGTGAGAGAGAACTAGTGTAGCAGCTTGACTTGAGAAGCGCAAGCTGGCAATTGCTGCGGACTTACCTAGTCTTCTCAGTTTCAGTGTCTGAAAATACTGAGTCAGCACCTCCTTCACCATTACAACCCTCATCACCTCCACCATCCTCATCATCAAAGTCAGAGGTGTTCAGGAAATCAAAGCTTTCTAAAGCACTTTCAACTGTTAGACTTAAAGTGGAGGACCTGCTCCGGTCTACTGCTGGCTTGCACTGCAAAGGCAGAACGCACCAATGAAAACCAAGAATATTACTGACTGCAGAAAAAAATGGATCGACTTAAAACATTCAAGTTCTATTTTTTATTTGTATAAGATCATTTTATTGGGTGCTTTGTATTCATTTCAAATCTTCATATTCATAAGACATACAGTGAAAGCCTGAGAACTAAAAAAAAATCCAAATACCAAGAGAAGAGTATTAAATCTAATATTAACTTTCTGCTATCAAAGTGACAAATGTATAACTTAAAACTCAGTGACATGGACTTCAGTGACTTTTTAAGAGATCAGTCTGTTAGTTAACATATGGGATGCTGAAAATATAAGGCACATTTCACAGGGATAATCTAGGTACAGAAGCTTGGTTACAAAGATTTCGTTAAGCTGTACGGGGCCAAAATTCATTTCTGATGTAATTCCAGTGGAGTTGAATCAGCAATGGATTTGGTTCCCTTTTCACAGATCACAGTACAGGATCAGAAGAGTGAGATGGAAAAATGACCCCATCAACTTTCATGCTTCTTTAAAAGCACAGGATACTATATTTAGTAAAGATCAACCATGCATCATCAAAGAGGTTCCTAATTACAGAAGAGACAACTTTACAACTCAGCTGGAGGGGAACCACCCTTCCTTACCAATAGAAAGGAACTGACTGAGAAACTTGGAATAACAGAGAGGACGCTTGATCAAAGCTGCACAGCTACAGTTAGATGTCTCCAGGCAGGCAGACTTTCTGCCCTCTGGAGAGACCCAGCCAGTCGGGCTCTGTATAGGCACAGAGGTTTGCTTTTGAGCGTCATTTTCCAGGATCGCAGCCTAAGGCCAACACCCTGAGGCTCAGCTCCAGCAATTTGTTTAGCAATTATTTTACAGTCTTAACTTTACTTAAACATATAAACAGAGATGACCTTACCCCACAGCGTGTGCTTCCAGACCTGAACCTCCCAAAAAGTTGGCATTCAGATTCAGAGGTCTGATTTGGCTGAGATGAAAGATGGGCTAGCTATAAAGTGCAGATTCAGTTCCCAATGAGAATTGGAATGGCTTGGAGTTTTGCTTCTAATCTACCTACGTAACATTAACACTTTAACATTTACATGCTTTTTCATCTTCAAATTACTGTACAAGCATCAACTGATCAGACAATCCTCACAACACCCCTGTGAGATAGGTAAGTAGCATTCAGCTTTTCATTTAATTTCTATGTTTTTACCTATGGTTTTGTTATGGGCCAGAAAAGCAGCTTCCCAGCTTTCTGCACAAATGCAAAGCATAACAGCCATGCTACCAACTTTCTCTGCCCACTGGCATAGTCAAGAGAAGCTTTCTTCAGCTAGAGCTAGCTTCTGTTTTCAGCCCTTCTGCACATGACTTCCAGTACCACGATTAGGGACACGTTAGTCTTGGTTCACAAGCAAACAGGCTGAACGGTGGAACAAAAGTATCCCTGAAGGAGCAGTCATCTCAAGTATCCAAGTATTCCACCTGCACACGAATCCCTCCCTCTGTTCCTTAGCATGATACATGTGCTAGAGAGAAGATGAGTGCTTTCCCCTGTCCCTCTGCTCTAACAGCTGCACAAGTAGTGAAGGCAGCTGGGAAGTTCAAAATTAAATGATACTTGTAGTTTCTCACGCACATTTCCACTTCAGAGCTACTTCATGGAGCAGAGCTGAGAAGGGTCAGGCTGTAAAAAAAGCACTTAACTGGGAAAAGTGTCATGTAGCTGCAAATGGCAATGGAAACACAGATGTTAAAAATGGTAAAGCAAAAGGAGAATTACTTCCCTTTCCTTGGGCACATTCTTCTTCTTAATTTACATGGCTGTGTCTACACATCTCAAAATCATTGTAAAATGCTACCTTGCATATGAATATGAACCATTTGAAATGAGTTCTTCCCACGTGACGCTGTTCTCATGATACCGAATCCTGCTCTTTTTACTTATGGAGAAAATGGGGAGTCATAGTGAACAGTTGTGAAAATAATCCAGGGTTAATGCACTTTGTTGTGGCATACATGCAAAAGCACTTTTTCTTGTTTCTACCTTCTGTCACACACATGGTCTGTCCTACACTAAATTATAGGACTCAATGTTTAGTTGCCTGGAAGAAGAGGGTTTTCAAGGCGTTTATGTGACTTAAGAGCAAAAGTCCAAATTACATTTGATGCACTTTGTGCACCTGAGTTACCTAGGCATTCCAGAAAATATAGTTATGGCTTCAATTTGTCAGATAATATAAATTGGCACAGGATTGCTGATTTTTTTAAATGGAAATAGCTCAGTACAGATATGGCACATCAGTTTTTAGGAGTAAAATGGACTGCTATGATCTGCCTTCTTGCATAATGCAGACCATAAAGTTTCTGCAGCAGAGAAAACTATTAACTGATTATGGTAATCTCCTGTTTTCCTCTGTTCCTCTCAATTAGAGTAAAGCACAAATAGCTCAAGAATAAAGCAAATAGCTTAAAAATGTGTAATTTCAAGGTGACAGCTCATGCATCATTGGAAAAAAATCAATTGATTCTTAGGAATTTTACTAGCAGTCAGAACAATTCATACTTTGATGTTTAGAATCATCATTCTGACTTCTTGTATCATATTTATATGATATGCATTCAGATTTTTTTGAGGGAGGTACTTTCTGAAAAGGTACTCACTTTTAGGATGTCATCTAGATGCATCACTTCTTGGTCCAGGTCCTGAAATTCCTTATACTGCTCTTTATGTGGGTCAAGTACTAGAAGAAGCCCTTGCAAGGCTTCTTCTATGCTTCCATCTAAGTAAGACTTATATCCTTCTGATTCCCCACTTATTGATCCCTCACACTGCAGCCTTTCAGGTATCACTGGAGCCTCCACTGAGGTAAGACTTTTTACCAGCTGTTTAGTGATGTTGCCTTCATACGTGTCCAGTTCTACAGGTTTTAGCTCTGACACTTCATCTGTATCCTGGAGGAGAGACACAGGGACACTAGTATCTATAAAGAGGGCATCATTTCCAGGACCTGAAAGCTTTTGGCAACCTTCAGAAACAGCTCTTGAAAATGTCTTGTTTTCATTTACTGGTGTGTGCTCTAGCTGTGATTTGAAGTCTTTTGACTCAGGTGTGGAGTTCATGGATGAGTTTGTACTAGTACTGTCCAAGATTGAGTTTAAGGATTTACAGGCACTGTGCTCTGTAGTAATTTCAGGATTGGAACTGACAGTGGCCGAGGAAGAATCCAAGTTGGCTGGGGGAACTCCATCTTCATAGGGCACATCACCAAAAGTGAACGAGAGGGGTCTCTTCTCAATGGATGTCATCCCATTTTCAAAAATGTCGTCTGGTGAATTGGACTGCAAAGATATTATAAACTTGTTAAAAAAAATATAGTGAATGTTTTACATTCGATACTGGAAAAAGCACCACAATGAACGATGTAGGGCTCACCAAAGAAAATGAAGGAAAAGAGATTAAAAGAATACTCAAGATTTGAGAGAGTGTAGCAGATTTAGCTGGCAAAACTGACATTGGCGGGTTTTCTACCTGCAACATTGGGTCTGGAAGTTTGGTCAGTATCTTCCTGTGCAGGAAAAGTAAACTGGGCCTTCTAACATATGTGGCACAAATTAAGATCCAAATATATACCATATTAATTCATAGATAGCCATTCAATTCGTATTTCTTAGTTTACTACAGTACTTGGTGTAATTTTTTAAAGTTTGCTGGCATTTTATGCCATTTACTTTCTATATGTTTATACCCATTTACTGGTTGCTTATAATTTATCATTCCTTTTTTTTTCACGTGGAAAGTAATAACAAAGGAAAATTCCAGGATCATGAAGCTATTTAGCTACTTGGTTTATTTAGTGTTTCTATTATACCATTTTAATAGTGCAATTATTTGTGCAATCCTTTAGACAAAAAAAATGTATTTGTTAAACAAATATCAATAACTATTAGAGCATGGGCAATATAAGATACTAAAGGTAAGAACAGGACACTGTTTTGCATAGTCCTGTGGTAATATGACAGGTAAAAATCAGAAGAGTGTACAGATAAAGGTGAAATTCTACTCTTGGTATGCATAGAGGAACTTAAGTTCTCAGATGTATAAATCTAGCACTGATGTCTATGAAAGCTTTGCACATGTAGGGAGAGCAAAATTTGGGAGCCAAAAGCTGCTATGCAGACCTGTCTGAAACTTTTGCTTGAATGCATAAAAACAAGAGAAATGTGGCCTTTATCACAAGGCCACGGAAACAGCAAAATGTATGCATGCTTTGTATTTAATATCTTTGGGTGCATCTACACATGCAATTAATTTGAAGCAATAAACTCTGAAGCAGTTTCAGCTGAAGTAAAACACTCCCAGGCGCAGCATCTACATGTGTGCCCAAGACAGCAGCAATTTGAGCTGGGGCAGAGCAGTTTACACCAGGGCCACTCCTGCCCTTCTCTGCCCTGGGTCTGGGTGGCAGTGTCAGGCGGCAGAGGGGCTGGCTGGGGTACAAGGGTGCTAAAAGTGCAAAGCCGTGTGGCTACACAGCAGATGGGAGTCTGGCCCCCTGCTGGCTGGGCTGACCAGGTGCAATTTATGCCTGTGGTCAACATCTATGCATACATTTAATCGCAGTTAATTAATCCGCCATAAGATAGTACTGTCTCTGTCATAAGATAGTACTGTCTGGCTCTGACAGTACTATCTGATGGTGGTGTTAATTAATTTACTGTGCCATAATACCATCACACATGTAGCCAGTAAAGCCATTAGCTTTACTCCACAGCTAATTAGTCTACTGCACAGTAAAGTGCACGTGTTGATGCAGCCTTTGGGTACAAAATACATAGGGGATTAAAAGATTTCTAATGACTTTTTATAGCATGCCTTTTTATAGTTTGAACCATCAGGAGCTTTGGAACAAATTTTATCTAATCTTTTAAATTGAGATTGGGAAGTGAAATACAGAATATATTAAAAGTATAAGGAAAAATGTAGAAAAGTGGGAAGTGTCAGCATTATTCAAAAGGAGCATAGGAAACATGAAATCTAGGTTCTAGAATAGGCCTTGAGTTTTCTGAAGTGCACTGCAAATGTTCCTCACACAAGGACATAACACAGGAGAAATGACTAGTTTTTGCTGACAATTAGCTGACAGTGTCCATAAGCATTTATACGATGGCTTAGTTCATATGATTAAAACATTGAAAATTATCTTGAATTATTTTCCAGTGCTATTAGTATCTTTCAGTCTGAGTCTAACTACATTTAATTTTTTTTTTACCCCCTTTTATATGTGTAATTTTTTAAAATAAATTATTTCAGTGTTGGAATTTGGGTTACTAGAAAAATGTTGAGTACCACCCACTCTAGCTGTGTGTTCCTAAAACCAGTTAGTTTCACTTGCATGTGCTTGTCTCTTTACTTCTGCCTCATCCCTAGATAGAAAGCTGCAAGCCTGGCTCTACTGAAGTCAGTGGCCATTTTGCTATTGACTTCAACGAGAGCACTTTTGGCTCAGCTCACTAGATGCAGTCTCTCCTGTAGCCAGTCAGCAAAATAAGTGAACTACAATGCAAAAGAGCAAACAAAGCATGCATAGAGTTAAAAGACACTCTCAGACCTGAGATACTTGTTCATCGCACAGAGACCTCTCGCCAGCCAAACCCACATAGAGCTCAAGCCCTGCTTTAGGCCTCAGCCTGAGAGATGGCAGGTCACTAAAAGAGCGACTACGCCGAAGCTTGTCAAAGAAAGTGTCTTGCAGAGCATCAAAAGCTGTCAACTGCAGCTTGTCTTGTGGACGATGCAACCATTTCTTCACCAGTGAAAGCAAAGTGCAGAGTTAGTTGAAGGCTTCACAGTTCATAACACTTAAATGGCTGGCTTTTACACATACCGGTTATGAATGAAATTCACAGCAGTGCAGATAGCCTATGGAAGGCTAAACTCTTGTTTAATTCTTCAGATTGAGATTTAACTGGGATTTAAAGTGGCATATTGGCTTTGTTCAGGTCTCTTGCATAGTGGTGAATTTCACCCGGAATGAGATTAAACAGGATTTTTGTTTTTATTATGATTTGTAGTTGTGAAGTTTGACATTTTGTAAAGTCTATGCAAAGATTATAACACATAAGCAAGAAGTGTGGGCAGCAAATAATTTAACATATTTTAAGATTGTAGGAACCTAGTCATATTTCTCCTTTTAGGCTGAATGGCTAATAGTGTGTGTATTTAAATAAAGTACTTGTAAAGAGCATCTTGCTTAAAATGGAGAAAATGCATTATGAATATAAAGCAGTTAAGCATTTACTCTGCTTGGTAAGGCACTATGTTTTCTCATTTGATAGTTGTGAGGCTAAGTTTCACTTACAAAGAATGAGCGATCCTTGAAGACTGGTGTTTCTGGAGTGCCTTGGCTATACATAGACATCCTCCGCTGGAGAGCAGATGCCTTGTTCACATTTCCCGTGGAGGGAGTGAGGTCCTCAACATCAAATGGGCTGCAAAAATAATGCCACACTTATTAGGCCAAGTGAGACTGAATTGCAAATACAGGGAAGGGCGGGGGATGGGGGAGGTTGTCCCTTAAAATTTAAAAAATAAATGTAATTAGAACAGTCTATTGAAATGCTTATTTTTAGCATCAAGTTGAGAAAAAGATTTTTTTTTCCAAGCAAAATGGTTTTTTAAAACCCTGTTTGTTAGGCAGCTAGCTTAGAAGTATGATTTTCATTTATGATAAAAGTAATCCACCACCAGGAATAATTTTATGTACTCTCTGAGATGCGACTCCTACAGCATGAAGAACATTCTTGTATTCGAGTTGACAAGAATCATGAATAGCAATAAGATGCTCAACTTTTAAAAGAGCTGTTGCATTATAAAGAGATGAAGGAGTTGTCATCATTGGTTATGTACTTCATCGCAGTATAAGGAATAAAGTACACTAGCGTAAAATCTAAATGCTTCAGGGCTTGTTTAAAGATAACAGGTAGCTGCTTCATTAAATGCCATGAAGTCTTGCTTTGAATTCTAACTGTATCTGTCTATGCTTACTGCTATGAGAGAAGAACATCAGGATTGCCCTGAGGCACACGTCAGGCACACGAATGCTAGTTTTCAACAGCCTGACCTAAATTCTGTTCTTGGTTATGCAAGTGTAAATCTGGAGTAGTTCCACTAATGTTTACACCAATGTAAAATGGGATTTTCATATGTACGTTAAAGGCCCAATTTTGCACTCTGATTAACTGAGTTTGAAGTAGTATTGTTCTATGGCAGCAGTTGGCAACTCTTTCAGGTTGCAAGACAGAATGACTCAACTAGGGTCAGAGGTGAAAGGGTGGGTGTTAGGATCTAGCCATGGCTACTGCTGCTTCTCCCTACTGCAGTGTAGTATACTGCAATAGCCCCTCATCTGCCTTGCGTCTGCAGGCCAGGTCCAATGGCTCCCTGGGTCAGATCTGACCTGTGGTCTGAAAGTTGCCAACCTTTGATCTATAGTACTTGTATGGCTCCCCTTGCTATCAAGTGTGAGCACCTTTAATGTTAGGGAGGGAAGTGCTATTATTCTTATTCTGGAGATGGGGAAAGGAAGCACAAACAGACTTGCCCCAGGTCGTGCAGAAAACCTGGAGCTGGGGAGAGAACTTAGCCCTGGTCTCACAAGTCCCACCAGTGGGCCATCATTCTCTCTCACTGCTCTTCAACAAAGAATCTAAAGAATGAGATTCCATTGGGGGTTGAGAAGCTACTGCGCCACAAAACTGTCCAACACTTCTACTTACTACCAGATGATTTCAAGGTTCAGCTTTATCGTGCCAAGATCATTGATGTCAACAGCAACCACCTGAGGTCGGGCTGCAAACAGATCCTTTGTTTCACAGGTCACACTTCCCACCAGGATGTGAGTAGCAAGTCCTTTAACTTCTGTGACCTGCAAAGGAAAACAGCTGTAGTAGGGAATATATATATATAGTGTGTGTGTGTATGGTTGCATTTAATGATATATATGCACATATATGTTTAATTAAAAGCTAATTATTTGGCTTTCTTGCCGGGAACCTGGCTAGGTGTCTTCTGAAACATTGGTATAAGATATTATAAGGCTATTTTTAATTTTTTTTTTCCATAAGCTATAGCATATAATAAATGCACACTCACTTATGACCATGCCTGCAAAATGCACGTGATTATTTTGTTTGCATGTGCAAATCATGTTTGCAACCACATATGAAAGTTACTATGATTAGGCAAGTGTGGTGGCAACCGTCAATCCTCCTGGATCATGGTGTATGTATGAGGACCACCCAGACCTTCGATGCATAAGACTGGGCAGGAATTTTGGTGCCTCCATGGCTGTAGTTGTATAAGTGTCTGCGAATCAAATCCAGGTCTCCTGTGTGGTAGACAAGGATTCTACCGCTGAATCACAGGGTGAGTGTAAACAGACCCAAAATTGTGTACAGATTGGGAGCACAATTGTCCATGAAGTTGCTTGAAAATCAGGCCCAAAATCTGTTAACTTCAACTCCGTGGATAGACTAGTCCATAAAGCTTAATGGTAAAGGTGTTTAGCATGTCAAGCCTAAATAATCGTAGTTCACACTTGCCAAACATAACATTTTTCATGTACTTACATTAAAATTTAGGAATTGTGTTATTAGATCTAGATTTCCCTTTCTTCACCAGATTAAGTTTGCACACACATCTCATTCATTTGAGATTTCCTTTAAATCCGTTTTTAAAGCAGCTCATATTTATGCAGAGTTTTATGGATAGTATTTCAGAGAGAGATCATTTTTAGGACTCTCCCTTATTTAAATTGTCCCAAACCAAGAGCTCTGCATATGCTAAAGAAGTTAGTGAAAAAGGATAAAAGCAATGTTCTGTAGGCTACCCAATCTTTAGATTATAACTTAATTTCACATACTTGAACAGATCAGACATTCTATCCAGTGAAGATTAGTAGTATAGACAATACCTTGCAGGCCTCAAATGCCTTTCTGTCTAAGTTAAGGTTTTTTGATAGCACCCTTTCCTATTGCAGTTAAGCACTTACATTTGTGTTGCCCTATCAGTGCAGCCATGTGGAAACTGGTATGCACTGAACCACTCAGGGTTAGTCTGCTGTGCAAGCTCAAATCAGAACATTCTATATCTCTTCAGCCTACCATGCTTAAAAGGTGTCATTCCTTATTCCAGCAAATCAGTTTGTAAAGGCATGCACAGTTTTCCATTTTTTTGCTTCAGTTTGTTTGAGAAAAGTAGCAGTGTGAAGCCATGTTAATGAAGGTTTGATGTTAGTTCAGTGCTAAGGGAGAGTCAGGACATCATTTCCCACAAACTGACTGATATGTAGATGGTATCATAATATAGCTATGATTGTAGTACTTTATTATGATACAATAAGGTACCCTAGAAATGCCAGAGGTAACTGGTCTCTGTCATTGAGTGCATAACAAAAAAGGTGTGCATCTTCATTATGATTCTGGAGTGCAAAGTGCTATATCAATGTTCCAGCTTTATAGACAGCTCTTAACAGAGCATTACTCAAACTGCAAACTGTGATTTTTTTTACCTTAATGGAAATCAGCCCAGCAATCAGAGGAAGGAAGACCATTTCTTCTCCATCCCAGCTCTGTTTGCCATTCACTTCTATTTTGCCTTTTAGTTTCCATCGCTGTCGCCCGTACCTCATAAAGATCTATGAGAAAAAAACCCTCTTATTTTCTAAATGCATGTTCTCCAGTTCCCATGTCTTCTCAATTTTGCTTCTATGCTCTCAGCAGACAAATATCAGGCTACAGAAGTGGAGAAAGGGTAACTTCTAAAATGCACCTGAAGAATGAACTCTGTATCCTTATTAAGCATGGAGAAAAACGCACAGGAAAGGACATTTTCTCGTTCATTTGAAAAGCCAGGAAAGCAGCAGATGAAAAGAATATCTTTTCCTTTTCAGTCATTGGGGCTGAGAAGGAGTTGATGTCACTGAGTAATAATACTGGTGCCAGACAGACAGGCTTGTACAGGTTCAGAGAAGAGGTTTGCCAGGTTAATATGCTGGTTAGAAACCTGTCTGCATGCTGTGAATCTCTGGGGAGTACCACATACCAGATCCTATTCTGGCTCCCACACAACCTCCTTATGTCACAGGGCCCAGCTTCCTCATCAGCTGTCTCCTCAGTACTGGATATCACCTCTCTCTCCAGGAAGCAGGATGCTCCAGGAGCTGCGAGATTCTCACAGGGCAAAGGGAGGAATCTCAGATCTTGCAAGATTTTGTGTAGGCAGCGGCACCAATTGAAATGAGGTATAATGCTACATTTCAAAGTGGTAAAAGGACCAGGACACCATAGCGGATGATCCAGCTAAGACAGATGTGGGACGTCTGGCCAGTGTTCTGTATAGAAAACCTGCCATCAACAGAAGACAGAAATGGGCTAGTTGCTTGTCTCCCCCCAGCAGGGGACTTGCCACTGCAAGTAAGAAATGATGCTAGGTAGATTGATACATGGGTGTTTTTTAAATGAGGGGTAGGGCTCCTTCACCATAATTTTTTTTTTTTTTAATCTTTATAAAGGTTTGAGTTGGTTTACCCTCCTGGTTCGCCTGTGTCTCAGTACACGGTGGTATTTGCCACTGTGAGAACACAGTCATTAGATACTGACACAGTGTCACAACAGAATATCTGGGCCTCAGCCCTGGTTAGTCTGTGTGTGTCTGCCCCTCAAATTCGTGATAGAGTTAAGTTTCTGTAACAGGGTAGATTGATGACAAATGCTCAAACTGATTTTGGTCCATTCAATCACCCAGATGGTGTAGGAAATGCCATCTATGCAGAGCAAGTGGAGACTAATGTCAAAGTATTAAGAGACCTGCCTTCCAGACCTGTTTTCTTAATAGCTATCACCCAGGGCTTTGTATGTGATCCTGAAGTTTTTACACAGGTGAAACCTTTGACGTGTTCACAATAGAAAGAACAGCAGGACTTTTATTATGCATGTGAGAAAAAGCAGCTTGTTCCTGAAGCATTAGCACAAAATTGACGTGTGCGTTCATGTGCAAAGTAATGGATGTCTGCCTTTTTTATATTGTGCAAACTGACAACACGCTCACCTCATACTGATCTCCAGGACAGAGACGAGCAAAGCCAGCCAGACCTAGGAGGAAACGACATTTGAGATCAATTTCAGAAGACTTCCTTTGTTTCAGTCTTCCTTCTGTCAGTATAAACGCATCATATTTAAGACCTGAGCAGCACCCAGACACTCCCTCATGATATCAGTGCATTCAGGCCATATGCATCAGAAATCTGTACTCCCTTAATGAGGGGCTGAACCCACCTCACGTGTAGCCCACAGGGGATTATTCTGTGGCCCTAGGCTCCTCCTGTCCACCACTCCCCTCATTGCTCTGGCTTCAGTCTCAGGCGTCCCCCTCTCTTCTCTGGCTTTCACATCCTGCCCCAGTGGGGCAGGGTGGTGCAGCTCAGTGCAGCCTATAGTGCTGATGCAGTGGGGAAGGAGGGGGCAGGATACCACCTGCCCACATGATGTCAGGGTAAGCTTGCGGCCAGGGAAGTGTGGGGGGCCATGGCCCCTGCGGAAGTGGTCCCAGACACTAAGTTGGACATCCCTGATGTGATTGACCTCTTGAAATTGCAGAACATTGAAGCTATGTCCAGCAACACTAAGCAGCTTATACTGATATAAGTGCCAGATGGCACCACAAGATATTGTGGACGAAATTCTCCTGTTCACTACCTATAATAAATGCAAATATTTAATAAAACATAAAAAGGGCATACTTTGAATTGCACAAAGAAGGTCTGCAGGTAACTCGATTCCAATCTATGCTGCATGGTTTATTTTATATAAAGAGAGACCACCATCACTATCTAGACTGTATAGATAGGACTGAGTAAAGTGATCACTGTAACTAAGGCTATACTATAGGCTTCTGCCAGTTGGTGAGGAGTATAAAAGGATTAACTAAAGGTAGCCATGCTGGCAAGAGGACTTGCTCTTTTACCACTTTATCTTGTTCCAGTTGGGGGTTTTAGAATAAGCCATACCAGCAAACATTCAGTTTTGCTGACAGAAGATGGTCTATGCTAAAAATACTTTCATGGTATAGCATACCACCATTCTAAGACTGACAAAGTGCTACTGATTGTACACATAGTTATACTTAGAGAGGCTGTTATGCTACATGCCTTTCATACTTGAAGTATTATTGTGTGCTATATCTAGTTCTTGTCTGTAGGTGGCAGCAACCCTTCACAAGCCAATCCAGTAGGTGCTAGCTCTATGAACTGAAGATGCTTTTAGAATTTGATATAAAACTCCAACAAATGCTAATGCTGCCTTCCATGAACATTCAGAAACCATGCATCAGTCCTCAACTGATCATGAGATTAGCTTAGAAATAATATTTTGAAGCCATCAAGGCTCTCTTATTTTTTTTCTCTATTTTTTAAGCCTTCAGGATTCACACTTCCAAGCTTTACTCTGTAACCAACAAGGGATGGAAATTCTCTTTAAAAGAACAAGAAAAAGAATCTAATGTAATCACAAGACTCCAGAAGTGGAGGTTTTAAGAAAAATGCCTACTATATCACAAGGCTCAGGAGAGTTCCCAAAACAGATAATAACACATTGCATACAGATTCAAATGATAAGGAGCAAAATTATTTATTTTATCTTCTTTTCATAGATGCACAGAAGTTAGACATAGCACTATTCTATCTAGGTTCCCAGATCACACTTGTCACAGTATGCACATAGTATACACACACACACTCTGACTACAGACTAACATATGTATATGGAGATATATATATAGCCACTGGATGAAGGATCTGGACCCAACTTTCCACAATCCCTTTGTTCTTTTACTCATAAGGGCCCTTCCCTTGCACTTCCTTGATGGTTTCTTTCACTAGAGCACAGCACATCCTCCACTCTCTCCTTACTACTCAGCAGAACAGTGCAGCTCTCTGCTTGGTACTCATATTACCTCCCACTTTCTAATGTATTTATTGTTTATAAATAATTTACATTTACTAGCACTCTGCCCCTGCTTCCTTCTCCCCACTAGTGCTTTTATTAGCTAACTTGATCTCTGCTGGGATGACTCGCTGAAAGGTTCTGATGTAAATAAAAGGTCCTTTTTCCTCCAAAGGGAAAGA